ATCCAAAATTGTAAGATCTAGATACCAATACAGGAAATTATTATTGATAAGGAGCCAAAAGCTTGCCTTCAATCTACTTGCATCATCTTCTACATGAAAAGGTGGCTAACAATATATATACTTAAGTTATTTTAAAACCAAAGACTTCTGTTATTAGGAGGACAAAGAAACCCTAGATATCACTATTGTGCATTAAAATGAATTTAATAACATAAGAGTTCTAGATTCCTATAACAGTAGAGCCTTCCCCAATACCTAAACACTTCATCATTAGTATCAACACTAATGATGAAGTGGTAAATATTTTTGGAATTTTTTAGAGAAAGACATTAAAGCAATATAGAGTAATAATAAAAAGGATAACAAAGATCCAATAATAAGGTTTGAAGTTAAGGTAGATCCCAAACTTTGACTTACCTTAAACAAGGTCATGGCTCTCTTATATGGTTGATAAGCAACCGCAACCATCATCTTTAACTTTGGCATGCCTCCCAAGAACATTTTCTAATCTATCTTCATCAATTACTATATCTGACACATCTAGCTTCTTTTCTTTTACTTTTCTTTTTGCTTTATTAACACTAAAGGTATATAATAAATACTATAGTACTTGATAATAGCTTTTTTAAGCTTAGCACATAGATGGAGAGTGAACTAAGTTTAAATAACTTTTGTTCTTAAAACCATTACATACCTTACCTTTTTTTTTCTCCACCTCAAATCTAAGAATTATTAATTCGTTGCCCATTCATAGCATGCCCAGGATCTTGAAGAGATATATCATTAACTTCACCACAAACATTCTCACTAAAATCCAATCACTTATAAATTTAACATAGAGCCTCTCATACTTTGAATCTATTCACTTACAAGTAGATTTGGAGTTATTTGCCCAACAATCAAGAAATAAAGGCTATATAAGTACAAATAAACTTTTACCTTGAATGAAACCACTCCCAATTATCTTGTCGATCCTTAGATTCATCCTTTCCTTAGTAATTTGATTTACCTTTTCTAGTTAACTCTATTCTAGGGAGGATGGCAGTTGACAATGTTGTCATTGCCAAAGAAATCATCACTTCCATGCATCATAAAAAAGGGAAAATTGAGGAGTGGCCATTAAAATTGACCTTGAAAAAGTCTTTGATAGTCTCGAGTAAGACTTCATTAAACAATGCCTCACTCATTTCGGCATCCTTGAGATTTGGATCAAAATGATTATGACTTGCATCTACACTACAATGACATTAGTTAATGTTAATGGCTATCTCTTGAAAGATTTCTACTTGTACTCCGCATTAAGCCAGGTCATCCAATTTCACTTTTTATTTTCATTATTTGCCTTTAGTTTTTCTTCTTCTTGGTGGAGAAATCATGCAATTCTTAACACCTAGAAGCCGCTTAAGGCATTTAGAAATGGTTATGTTTACACATTCTCTTTGTTGATAACATCTTCCACTTTGGCAAGGATACTCCCTCAACAGCCGAAGCCACTAAAATTGCTCTTAATACTTTCTGCTCTTTCTTCAAAAAGTCAACCTCCAAAAATCAAGAATCTTATTTTCCCTTAATGTGGTGGATCATATAAGATGCACAATTTGAAGCATTTCGGGTCTTCAATCAACCACAAACCTAAGCAAGAACCTAGCTTATCCCTCTTGTTTCCAAATCCTTGAATCATAAAGACTTCAACTTTATCATTGATAAAATCAAAAACAAACTAACAAGCTAAGTTCCTTCCTCATGTTGGCAGCATCAGTCTCCTCCCAACTATCCTTAGTGCACTATCTCTCCATGTTATACAATGTTGTGCCTTTCTTACTATTACCTCCAAATTGCTTGACAAATTTGCTTGTGACTTTTTGTAGCACTCAGACACCCCCCAAATGTAAAATTCACCTTATTAAATGCAATACCATCTATAAACCCTAAATGCCTAGTGGACTTAGGTTAAGGAAAACTGGGACTCTTAGCACAGCTTGGCTTGTTAAACTCATTTAAAAGGTTCCTTCAAACCCTCAAGCATCATTGGCTTTCATCTTGCGCTTTAAAATGCTACCTCTTAACTTTTAGTAAACCCCCCACATTTGGCAAATTATCTCAAAGAACGATTCCTTTAACCTTAAAATGTATTTGATAAATTGCTATTTCTAGCAATTTCATCAACTTTCTCTTAGACAATTGGTTCTATGGGCTTATGATTGATCGACGGGCCTTTTTCACCCATGGTCCTTAACTTTTTTTTACCTTATGCCACCCAATTTCTTAATTACTTTGACCAACTTCCTTGACACTTCTCGCAATACATTGCACTAATCATCTGCTTGGCACTTAATCTTATAAATCCTACCACTGAAGATGATTTCTCATGGTCACTTACTGGTAATGGATGCTTCAGTATCAACTTATGACTTAATTTTGTGCACATCAACACTCGCCAAATACTTTTGATTGCATATGGAAATTTAAATCTCTCCTTAAGATCCGTTTCTTCCGTAGGACTCTTGCTCACGATAGAATCCCTGCCAACTTGACTCTTTCCAATGGGAGTCCAGCAATATCTAGTCTAAGCTTGAAACGCCCTCCATGCAATTAGGGGTTGTCATTAGATCATTGTCATAAGGAATTCTACCCCTGTAGTTTTTGCAACTCTTCCTTTCTTAATCTTTTTTATTGGCTCAAAGTTAATAGCTAATCTAAATTATTCGCTTCCTTTCCTGCTGCTTTGATCGTCTTCTACTTTCTCCTTCGGAATATCTAGCTTGACAACCACAACCACTATTTTTGGCACTCATCCTCTTTCAACTCCGTCATCAACAAATTAATCGTCCAAAATACAAAATGCTTATGTTCTAAAGACAAAATTTTGCTAAATCCATTTCACCCAATTTCATGGCTATAAGATTGATTAAACAGTAGCAAGGTTGGATGAAACTCAACACCGATAGACTACTCTTTCAACTCGAGGCTCTCAGGTGTAGTGGGAGTCATTAGCGGCTGCCAAGGGATTTAGATAACAAGATGTACCATTTACGTTGGCAACGGCACTAACAATGAGGGTGGACTTTAAATTTGGGCATTTAAGTTTAGACTTAAATTGGCTGTTAACAAAGGAATTAGGAAACTCATTATAGAAATGGACTCTACTTTTGCTTTCTCTACTTTTTCTTATTTATGTTATGCTAACAATTCTTGATGCCCTCTCTCCTATCAAAAAATAAAACAATTCTTGATGCTCTTTGATCAATCATTGGATATTATTGACCCGAGCTCTCAATGAACTACAAATCCAGTATGTTTATCGTGAAGGCAATTATGTTGCAATGCTTCGCCAAGCATGGTGCTCAAATGAAAGATCTTCGATTGTTTTTGATTTTGTTCCAAATTTCTATATGGCTTTATTTGGCCATGATGTTTTTGGACCCATTTTGCACAAAATTACTTGTAGTCCGCTTTTAATTCATGAAATGCAATTTACTTTATGCACAAAAAAAAAAAAAAAATGCTACTATGTCGACTTGATTAATCAATCTCCTTATGTAGTTCTAATTGAATTGAAGGTCTGGGAACAAAACAAGTTTAGGTATGCTAGTAACATAATATCATTAAACACAATTATTTCAACAGTATTACAATTAATATTTACTTGTCATTATACCTTGATTTGCCTTTTGCATACTTAAAGCATCATGAGGATTGGCAGAAGTAGGATGCCAATTGCCTACTTGAGGTGAAGTACTCTACAAATAATCCTCAAATTCAGCTAATAAGTTTATACTAACACAACTTTCATTGTAATGACGTCCATGGATTGGTCGTGTGCATTCCTGTGTCAGGGAATTGAGTATTAGATTGCAATTTCTTATATGTTTAGAGCCGTAATAAATTTAGAATCTATTGTTCAAAAAATAATTAAGAAACTGGTGCCTTAAATGCCTGAAATTGGATTTGAAAAAGAAGTAAATGAAAGCTCCAAAACAAACTGACAAAGAAATGATGAGTATATGATGAATCAACATCCCACAGAGAACATGGCTGGAAAACGCTGAACAAATCATCCCACAATGCAAAGTTCCATCCGAATCCCAAGTTGAGAAGTTTTCAGCAGTTACAAGGCTGAATATCGAAGATGAAAATGTTTGCAACTTTAATGATAAATTTTAAATATAAGGCTTAAGATCAATAGACCTATTATATATAAATATATATATATATATATTCATTATTATGGTACCGAAACAAGGAACAAAATATATTAAATTATAGTTCAGTTTGAATTTTAAAATTAAGAATAAGCTTAGTTTGAGAAAATGAAGAAAATAAAAAGGAGGGGAAAATTTTTGGATAATGATAAGAGATGTGAATAATTTTTTAGTAAAATTTTTTAATATAATTTTTATATATTATTAAATAAATACGTATAATATTATAAATTTTAATAAAATAAAAAAATTAATTATTAAATAATATATAAAATTATATAAAAATAATTATAAAAAACTTATCACTTTATTATATTTAAAGGTTTTTAATCTAAATAAATTACAAGTTGTGCTAAAATTTTAAAATTTAATTAAATTTTTTCCTTCTCTTATTTTCTCTTGGTTCCTCAAGTGAAATATATCTTAAAAGGAAAAGAAAAGTAATTCTCTCCCTCATATTTCGGTTCAAACTAAGTTGACTCAATGACCAGCCGAACACAAGCAAATGCTCTAATCTAAGAGCTTGTTTGGTGCAAATTGTGGGAAGAGCTTTTTGGCTCTAAAAGCACAAGCTGCACCAAACGGGTCAGCTTCCTAAACTGGTTGCAGCTTTTGAGAAGCTCAGCTTCTCACCTTTCCTTTGCAAAGCCTAGAAGCTCTCATTTCTTACTTCCGCGGAAGCTTCTCGCTTAAATGTTTAATGAAATTGACATGGTATTCCCATTTTGTCCTCACACTTCATTTTATTTACAAAAAAACCACTATATAAAGGGTCATTTTATACCTCTTCTCTATTTCCCCTGTCTTTCTTTCTTTCTTTCTTTCTTTGTCTTTGAAGCAGCCGAACGTGCCTTGTTCTCCCTCCCTTCTTGCCCACCTTCTTCCAAAGCAGATCAGAGATATAAAAGCATCTTAGTCATCAACCTTCTTTCTCCCTAACTACTTGAAAGCAGAAAAGCCCATTTCCCCTCACCAAAAAATCCCCATCAAAATCCCATTTCTCTTCCTTCTGTGAGTCTTCTTCCTTTTCTCTAATTTTTTTTTCCTTTTTTGGTGTTTCTACTACCAATTTGGTGGTGATGAATGATGATTGTTGGTTGGTAGTGTGAGTTTTGGTGAAAGTTTTAATTTTTAATCCTTGTCGTTCCTTCTCTTCTTGCAGATCTGGGTGACGCGATGAAGCAGCATGGGTTGGTGAAGTCGAACGAAGCAGCAATATCGGAGGAGAGTGAAGCGAAGGGTGTTTCAACCACGGGACTTTGGATTCTCGAAGCATTGTGCCATTCCATTGTCTTCCTTTTAAGATCCTAATTCAATTTCCAGGTACATAAATGCATGCATTTAATTTGTTGTATTTTCACTTATCCATCTATTTGATGCATAAAGAGAAATTCTAAGAATTTTAACAATTTATTACAGTATATATGCTGTCTTGTTGATAAGATGTCTTTAACTAATTTCTTTTGGTTTGATTTCCTTACGTACATGTATTTTTCTCCTCTTCATTTGATATCAGTTTTTTTGCACCAAATTAATTACCCTGCACAAGGAGTATGGAGGTCTGCCTACTTTCTTTTTTGTTTTGATCATACGATTTTTCCAGCTCGCTAAGTTGGGGACGATGTATTTTTTTCTTTTTATAAAAGAATTTGGAGTTTAATATATATAGTTTGCATTTCATAAAAATAATTAAGAGGTTAGTGTTTGGAATATTGTCTTCCCAAATTTTTTTTTTGGATGTGTTTAAAGAACTAGATACTAATTAATGTATTTAAAAACTTATTGTTAAATTAAAATTTTTATTTTCCAACGATTTTACTATCTCTGCAGAATCTCCTTTCTCCCTCTACACATTGCCTCCTTTTCCGATAGATATACCTTGTTCTATGACTATGGTAGGAGATGAGGGGTCCTTTAGGGGCAGTCATAGGGAGGTACCCATCAAGTGATGGGAGTACCTAACTGGGAGGAATCATAAGGCACAATAGGAAATGCAGAGATGTTGCATTTCTTGTTATCTTTATAGCATTTTGGGTTGCTATGATTGTTAACTCTAGCTTTGGGTTCAACCAAGGAATTTGTTGTTTTTATGTGTTTTTTTTAGTGTGTCTCAAACTTAATTGGGTTTTCTGTTTTGGCTCACTTACATTAATGTATGTAATGGTAGACGTTTGTAAGTTTGGTTGGGGCTAGGCATGATTAAAATTTTCAGGTTAATTTGCACCTATAAAAGACTATTTTATAATTCTTCCTAGTTTTAGCATTCTATTTTTGGTGTTATAATGTGTATCTATACTTCCATTATTCAACATTTATTTCTATGTGTTTGTAGATCTTGTTTTAAGGCCAAAATTATTTCAATATATAAGATGGCTGAAAAAAGGTCAAAGGCAGTGTGAGATGCATTTAAAACAAAAATTTTTTGTGAGATATGTGTGGAAAAGGTCAATGTCGGTAATCGTCTTAATAGTACTTTTAATAGATTAGGGTGGACAAATGTGGAAAAAAAATTTAATAAAAGAACAAACAAGCATTATATTTATAAACAACTAAGAAATCGGTGGGATGCATTAAAAAGTGATTGGGTTTTATGGAATCAACTCTTAAAGCGAGAAACAGGACTAGGGTGGAATCATGAAAAAGGAACAATTGATGCTACTCCTCAACGATTGCCTGAATTGAAAGCGATTAGTTGTATTCTTTTATTGTTAATGATTTTTAGTTTTTTGCATGTGACTTTGTTAATTTTAACTTTAAACTTCTAATATGTTATATTTATTATAGGAGAACAAAGAATATGGTAAATTTGAGCATTATAGATTAGAAAACACAGTGGAGTTGTAGCAAATGCTTGACAAAATAGTAGTCATCGGTGAAACTGCATGGACTCCAGCTACTGGGCCTATTCCTCTAATACAACAGAATGTTGGGTTTGAAGATGCTGTTGATTTGGAAGAAGGAAGTGGTGATTTTGATGAGGTGAATGTCATCCCAACACAAACTGGTGGAAGCAGTGAAAAAAGGAAGAAAAACACAATTGGTCCTTCACTTACCAGCAAAGCAAAGAAAGTGAAAGGAGGGGTTGTAGCATACATGCAGAGATAATTGAATCGTCTTTGTGATGCAATTGAAAGTTATACCACAACTACTTTGAGTGATTCATCAAAGAAAAATTATGAAACATATCCTGATACCACTGAAGAATGTGTGGAGATGTTGTTAACTTTACCTAGAGTTGAGGATGGTAATGAGCTTTTTATGTTAGGTACTCATTTGTTTGTGAAACGAGAATATAGAAATATGTTTAGGAGTATAAAATCAGTTAACTCAAAACTTTCTTGGCTACAACAAGAGTTGGAAAGGGACAAGATAAGGTTTGAGATGGTGAGGGAGAGATTCGGTGGTAAAAGGTATTACTAGGATGTTTGTATTTGAGTTTTTAGTATTAAGACATTCGTAATGCTTGTATTTGAGATACAAAAATGTTTTCTTTTTTATTTGTATTTTCGTTGCATGTGGACAAATGTTATGAATTTATGTCTTTTTCATAATGTTGTTGCTTAGAAATTGGACTAGTGATTTATAGTTCAAATAAGGATTCCATATTAATCCTTGTTTAGATTATCATTTATCTTGAAATATTAAGTTTTTTTTTTTTTGTTAATTTGTAAAAGTTAATAAAAAGTTAAAATAATATGATTCATAGAATTTAAAAATTAATGGTGTCCACATTATGTAAAAGGGAAGGGGCAATTTGCATAAGTTTTGAAATTAAAAATGTAGATTATAAATAAAAATAAGTTTTGGGTTAAATAATTACAATCAAAGAATTTTAGGGGCTAGTAAACCTTTTTACCTTTTATATCAAAAGTAGCAATGTGCAGAATCTAAATAGTTGAGGACAGTACGCATGCACTGCCCAAGAGCTGATTTCAGTGCATGCGTTGGGATAGTAGGCATGCATTACGCAAGTGTTGTATTTCAATTACACCAAAAAAGAAAGTCTGTCTTAAGAAAAGATTTCTCAATCATATGGAAAAAAGCATGTCTTAAGAAAAGATTTCTCAATCACATGAAAAAAAAATCTAAACATACATAAAAATAGAACCCCCTATTTAAATTACAACACCCTCATGCACTTCTCCCAAATTCAATTTACGTCAAAGAGTTCAAGAGTTCAAGAGTTCATTTATTGTTCAACTTAAGAGAAAGATAAAAAGGTATGTTATCTTATTTTTTTTACATTTTTAATTTAGTTATAAAAATAATTAGATTGGTTTTTTGTGTTCATATGTGGATCCTAATGTTTTTCTTTTTCTTGGTAGATGGATTTAGATCCAAGGTGGAATTATGAAAATAGTGATGAGTGTGAGGTGGAGGAAGAAAATAGTGATGAGGATGAGACGGAGGAACAAGCTATAGAACAAAGAGATAAGCAGGTGGAAGGTAGACGAAAAAGAGATAATATCTTTTATTCTCTTGTTCACTTAGATGCTTCAATATCTTCAAAATATATTTCAAAATATCTTAACAAACAAAAAAGAAGAGTTTCAAGACTTTCAGGTTGGCAATGGGTGCAAGAGACATTGGCAACTCTAGGTGAAAGTTGTAAATTATTTAGAATGGAACCACATGTTTTTACAGGATTATGTTCTTTGTTAGTTAGTAATTATGGGCTAACATCAACAAGAAAAATATATGCAGAAGAATCACTTGCAATGTTTCTTTGGACATGTGCACATAATCAATCTAATCGAAATGTGCAAAATTGTTTTAAACATTCGGGAGAAACAATAAGTAGAAAATTTCAAGAGATTTTTGATGCAATGGTGAGGTTTTCAAGTGACATTGTGACACCATTTGATGATAATTTTACCGAAACTCCTAATAAGATTCGACAAGATACTAGGTTTTGACCTCATTTTAAAGGATGTATTAGTGCAATTGATGGTACGCATGTTAAAGCCACAATCCTTGAAGAAGACCTAATACCATTTATAGGTCACAAAGGCATCCCCACTCAAAATGTGATGGTACGTAGTTTGTAATTTTGACATGATATTTACATTTGTAGTTACAGGGTGGCCTAGATCTACTCATGATGCACATGTTTTAACCCATACATTGGAAAATCATAAGGATGTGTTTCATCATCCTCTTGATGGTAATAATTTTCTATTTATTTTGTGTTATAGTTTTTAAGTACAATTCTTAATGAGTTTTTAAGAAAATTTTTCGTATTTATTATCAATAACTTCTCTCTTATATTTTAGGTAAGTATTATCTTGTTGATTGTGGTTATCCTAATATAAATGAATATTTGGCACCTTATAAAGGTGAAAGGTATCACATTCCTTATTTTAGACATGGAAGCCAACCAATCGATTATCAAGAAATATTCAACCATGCTCATGCTTGTCTTAGAAATGTCATTGAATGATCTATTAGGTGTTGAAAAAATATGTTTGAAATATTGTTCAGCACGCGAAGTTATTCATTTACAACACAGAAGAAGATAGTAGCTGCAATAATTGCACTTCATAATTATATTAGGCAACATGCAATCAGGGATAAAGAATTTAATAGGTGTGATCAGAATCCAAATTATATACTTGAAGTGCCTAGAGAAGAGAGCATAGATCAAGGAATTTCTCAAAGTACTTTTGTTAGTACAATGGAGGATTGTAACATGATTTCACTTAGAGATTTCATAACTCTATCTTTAATGCAAAATCAATCAAGATGATTATTTGACAAAAATTTTAATTTTAATTGTCTTATTTATGTGACTTAAATGTAGTATATTTTATTTTTTAATATTAAAATATAAGCATTTATCTAGTATTTATGTTTTAAAATATGAATAATTAATTTTTGATCATCAACCCTAAACTAATTATAAAAATAAAGTCATATAAATATATAAAAAAATTTGGAGTGGGAGTGGTGATTAAATGTACTATATTTTATTTTTTAATATTAAAATATAAGTATTTATATAGCATTTATATTTTAAAATATGAATAATTAATTTTTAATCATCAACCTTAAACTAATTATAAAAATAAAGTCATAAAAATATAAAAAAATTTAGAGTGGGAGTGGTGATTAAATATGAATAATTAATTTTTAATCATCAACCTTAAACTAATTATAAAAATAAATTCATATAAAAATATAAAAAAAATTTGGACTGGGAGTGCTAATTTAAATGTAGTATATTTTATTTTTTTAATATTAAAATATAAGTATTTATGTAGTATTTAGGTTTTAAAATATGAATAATTAATTTTTAATAATCAATCATAAACTAATTATAAAAATAAAATCATAAAAATATAAAAAAATTTAGAGTGGGAGTGATGATTAAATGTAGTATATTTTATTTTTTAATATTAAAATATAAGCATTTATATAGCATTTATATTTTAAAAAATGAATAATTAATTTTTAATCAACCTTAAATTAATTATAAAAATAAAGTTATATAAAAATATAAAAAAATTAGTGAGAGTGATGGTTAAAATAAAAATGTCTACTTAAGTTATTTTGGCATTAAAAGATCTTTTGTAAAAAATTTTACTAAACTACTTTTAACTTTACAAGTATTTTTATAAAAAATTTTACTAAACACTCTTAATTTCTCAAAAATAATACTTTTACAACAGATTTTTTCTAATAGCACTTCTATCAAAAACTCCAACCATACCAAACGGGTTCTAAATAAGCTTCTATCAAGTACTAAGTTTGTCTCCTACATAGATAGTGGTTTAAAATTTAAATTTTTATATTAAAAATTTTAAAAATTAAATTTTGTGATAAGATGAAAGAAAAAAGAGATTAAGGCACCTCACTTTTGAGTTAAAAAAATTAGAGTTGTAATTTATATTTAAAAATTAAAATTTTAATTTAAAATTTAAAAGTTTTATTAATTTTTAATAAAATAAAATAAAATAATTTAAAATTTAATGTTTTTTAAAAATAAGGCTAATATATATTTAAAAAATTTTAAAAAATATTTTATTATATAATTTATTATTTGATGCAAAAAAAAATTAATTTGATACAAAGAGAGAAGGATTTTTTACCAAATTTATAACGTTTTTTCTTGGAAAAATTGGGACTTGAAATGACGATTATACCTCTTCTCGTAGTACTTATTTGAGCATGTTTGGATTAATTTATAAAAGTTTTTTTTTTTACTATTTATTAGTAATAAATTGAAATTTTTATTAGATAAAAAATTTAAAAATAAAAAAATAATAAAAATAAAAAAAAATTTATGAAAAATTTAAAATATTTGAAATTTTTACTATTTAAGTGATTAAAAAAATTTAAAAATATAAACTTTAAAAGAAAATTTAAAAATATAAACTTTTAAAAAAAAAATTTAATTTACTAAACATAAATAATATAAAAATACTGAAGCAGTTGAGAGCTAAACCAAGCATTGCTCTAAAGTTTCAGTTTCCTCGAAGCTTTTCGGTTGATGACTTGATGTGAGACTGGGGAAGTCAAAAAGACTCAAAACCCTAAGACTCGCCAGGCATAAACCCTTTCCTCCATTGCTTGCAAATGGAACCGTCGCAAGCTCGGTGTGTTGCGAAGCTGATAAAGATTCTGAATCGGCAGCTTTATAACCCCATTTCAGCCCCAGCACCCTCCACCGCTCTGATTCCGATCCGCCATTTTAGTGATGCTAGGTGGCGACCCAGGAGGGAGAGAGATCGAAACAGATTCGATCCCGATGGTGTTGATGGTGAACCTCCAGGGCCTATTCCTAATAGACCTAGGAGAGGCCAGAGGCCTTTCAAATTTTCTTTTAGAGAACCCAGAAGACCCACAGTGAGTGATGGTAATAACAGTTCTCCTCTTCAATCTTCGGACATAGGGTTTGCTGCTGATGCTAGAAAAAGGAGGGATGATTCTCAGTCCGACAACAGCTTTCTTGAAAGATTCAAGCTTGGTCTTGACAATAAGACAGAAAAACAGCCCTTGACGAATTCGGATCCTGCAACAGCAGCAGCTGAGATAACTCAAGAGCAAGAAGAGAAACTCTCTGAACCCGAGGATGCTGATGAAATTTTCAAGAAAATGAAGGAGACAGGTCTCATTCCGAGTGCAGTGGCCATGCTCGACGGGCTCTGCAAAGATGGCCTCGTCCAGGAGGCAATGAAGCTTTTTGGTTTGATGCGGGAGAAAGGTACGATCCCTGAAGTTGTTATATACACTGCTGTTGTTGATGGCTTCTGCAAAGCACATAAGCTTGCTGATGCCAAGAGGGTGTTTAGGAAGATGCAGAAAAGTGGCATCACTCCTAATGCCTTTAGTTATGCTGTCTTGATTCAAGGATTGTATAAATGTAACAAATTGGATGATGCTGTTGACTTCTCTATGGAAATGCTTGAAGCAGGACATTCTCCTAACGTTACCACCTTTGTGGGCTTAGTTAATGGATTGTGTGGGGAGAAGGGTGTGGAAGAGGCACAGGGTGTTATTGAAAACTTACAACAAAAGGGGTTTGCTATAAATGACAAAGCTGTAAGAGAGTTTCTGGACAAGAAGGCGCCTTTTTCACCAATGGTCTGGGAAGCAATTTTTGGAAAGAAACCCTCAAAGAGATCGTTTTGATTCAATCTTTTGTGGGCTATTAACTGTTCTGCTCTTGCCTTGTTCCTTGAACATGAAAATAGTTTTCGTGAATGAGGGAAATCTTTCCTCCATAAGTTCTCATGTTTGATTTTGGATGCTGTCAAGTTATTCACTTTTATGTTTCTTGAATATCATAGTATCCAGGGAAAAAAATCTTGGTCAGCATACTGGTTCCAGTTACATGTGGCGTGTTCATTCTAGAATTTATGATGCATTGTCTGAGACTGATTCAAGGACGGAGATGGAGTTAGATACGTATGACTTTGTTTTCTATTGGACTTAACTTGGTGTAAAGATTTTGTGAATTAGTTTTAAATGATGCTTGAAGAGATGAATGCAAGAAAAATAAAAAGGAAATTTATTTTTATGATATCTAGATTTTTGTTTACTTTAGCATCAAGTGAGGAGCAAGAAAAAAAAAAAAAAAATCAATGAAAGATGGAATGTCTCTGGTCCATGAAAATACCATACATGTGCAGGTATGCAGTTTGTAAAATTAACATTAGTTGGAAGTTTAGTCAAAATTTATGCATTTCACTTAGGTTTGATCCTTTTACCATTGCTAAGTATGACCATTCATGAGGAATGGTGTTTAAGTTTTGCAGCATATGCCTTTAGAAAAGATCTTCTGTTTGCATGCATGGTGGGATTTCTTGATATTTTGTGGGCTGAACATGAGTATGGCAATGATATCTAAGGCCTTTCTGAAGACATAGATATTATCTTGCCTGGTAATGTATTTTTTATGCTTGTTTGATGGTTTTGGATAGCTTAGGACTGGCAATTTCTCATGTAGCTTTATAGTGTTGCCTTGTTGTTTTGACATTCATATTTCTCTCCTAGTTTGTGATTGTTTCCAAACAAATTATTGCAATATGTTTTAGAATTTAGTCTGTAATTGCAAAGTAGACATAGCAGTGGTTGAAGATTTTTTAGTTGCTCTGCACTGTAGGGAAATGCAAAGGATAAGGGCTGTATTTTTGGTTGTAGTGGTCTGGTTGATGGCCTTGTAGTAGATGCGGATAATTAAAAGGGGAAAGTCAGAATAGCCAGTAAGGCATTTATGGTGGTAAAATGAAATTGATCTATTGTGGGAAAGGAGATAGGAGCATGGTGCTGAAGTTGGTTTAGAGTGAAATGATAAGTGACTCAGAGGACGCATTAGAGGTAAAGGAGGTTGTAGTTCGGATGGTCATTGCATTGTTGGCTATCATGAGGGGGTCAGAATGGAAGTGGTGGAGACAGGAGGGCAGCACTAAGTTTATTGATGAAGCGATGTGGTATTAGTCCCTGTACTAATAAAAGTTCGGTAGTTCATTCATAACAGAATTGAAACAGCCTTGTCCTTAATTGAAGGTTTTAACAAACACATGTCCTTACTTGTAAGTCTTTACAACTCTGTGCCCTTAAGTGTGAATTCCCTTAAACGTAATTGGATTGGCTTTAAGGCCGGTCGGTTGCATGGCATTGGTAATTTAGTTGATTTTCAACAGTGAAAAAAAAAAAAAAAAACTTGTACACGTTTTCTGGCATGTGATTGCCAAGAACACTTGTCAAGAGGAAATGAGTTAGTGGAGAGAAGTTAAATTCCACATAGACTTTGTCTTGCAACTTAGTAGAGAACTAAGTTCGTTTTGCCATTTCCTTCTGTGTCATCAGATGAGAAAAGAGGATAGGAGACTGAGAGTTCAGGAGAGCAGCATAATGCTGGAGTTTGAAGAAATCAGGAGGGTTCCCAAGTCCTGCACAGCTTAAGTGAGTGACTGTAAGTTCTGGATTTAGAGACATGCAGCAGTAGCAGAATTGGAGGATTTTGAGGGAGATTCTAGTTAAGGTTAAGCTAACTTGAGGTAAGTTAACTAATCACTTAACTACTTTTAAGTCTAGACATGAATTTGTTGGGAAATTGAGAATTCTTATGTTCTAACTCAATGATATTCTAGTTGGCTTGATAAAAACTGTGTTAGTTAAACAGTTATCTGAATTCTGCTTTGATAAGTTTGATAAGTGATGTTTTGAACCATACACTAATGATCATGCATTATACATCTTTCTGCATCAGAATCTATGGTAAGATACCTAAACTATATGCTAGGTAAGAACTACTAAGGGACCTGGAGTAAAGAAAGAAAGAAAGAAAGAAAGATATCAGATCCTCCCCACAGTAAGAAGAATCATTGCTAGGCCACTGGAGCGATCGGATGTACATCCATAGGAAAAATCCATAGATAGAACTATATTCATTTTACATTTAGACATGCATAAAGTTATCTTGCTAGTTTAAATGTGCTCAAGTTAGTTATTCAAGAAGGATAGAACCTGAGTTAAGTGTTCTAAGAGATAGAACAACTTTTGATGGAATTGCGTCTGCAAGAGGCAGAGAACTTTGTTGAACTCTGTTTGATAACAGAATATGGTTTGTGTTTCATGTTTTACCTTAAACTTGTAAAGTTTACAATTGCTTACTGAGCCTCATAACTCATGGAAATATGGAAATATTTTTTTCCCTGTTGTTACAGACTTTGTTAACTACGAGACAACTAACAATTTGTTGGGAGACTAAGGAACATCTACCCACCAAATGCAAGCCTAGAAGCTAAAGCTTGGTAAGACAAACTTGACTTCTGCCAAAACCTAGTCCTGGCTCAGTTAGTGTGTCTATAGGAATTTTGCATGCACTTAGAAGCTGATGGAGGGTTTATCAGTTTTTTTAAAGAAAACTTGTAAAATTTATGTGCTTAAACTAAGTTTTCGTTTAGTATAGTTATGATTTTGAAGTTTTGGTTTTGGTTTCTAAATTTAAATAATTAAAATTAACAATTAAAACTTAAAATTAAAAGTTTGAATTGCCAAAATACTGAGTATAAAATTTTAAAACAAATACTCAAAACTCTAAACTTAATTAATTTATAGAACTATTTAATTTTATTATAGAGCTTTTAAATTTTTGAAAATTAAAATTAAAAGGTCAAATCATGACCATACTAAATAGAGCCTAAACGTAGATTGTACCTAAGTTTATATGCGAACTTTCTATGCACTAGCACTATCGTTGACCATTTTTTTGTAGTTAAGTAAAAATGTTTTCAGTAGCCACTTGACATTTGAAATGTTTTCAAATAAAAACCTTAAACTCTAGCCATATGTTCGCATTGAGGGGAATGGAGGGGAGGGAAAGAATTTTTTGGTTAATTAAATTATAACATTTTAAAAACATATAATTTAACTGGTTAAAAAACTTTCTATCCCTCTCCTCCATTCCTCTCAACTCAAACATACTCTAAAGCCAAGGATTTTGCTAAGAGTCAAGAGGTCTCCACTACTATAAGAACAGACCAAGGTCACCACTATTGTGGGAAAAAGACTTAAGTTTTTGAATGCATTAATTCCTTGTAATTGTCATCCTATGGCAATCGCTTGTGCATGATAGTGTAATCCATGGGGGCTAAACAACCAAGACTATCTTTTGATGGGATGATATAGATGCAATCTTTGCCATTTATAGGTAATGGACTTATCTCATTTTAAAGTCCTTGTGGCTGCAGATAACAAACTTATTTTTCTTAAAAAACCTGTCATTTACGAACAATGGACTTAACTGTTTTAAAGTCCCCATCGGTTATGGATAACGAACTTAGTTTCTTAAAATCCCCCTGCCATTTGTAGATACAAACTTAATTATCTCAAAGTTTTCACCAATGTGGACAAATGACTTAAATTTCTTTAATAAAGAGGCGATGTACTGATATTATCTCCCAGTCATTTACGGATAACAAACTTAGTTATCTCGAGGTCTCTACCAGTGCAGACAAAGGACTTGGCCTTGAAAAGCATTGATTCCTTCCCATCTTATAGATTCGTCAGAGAAATAGACCATCCTCTAACAGTCACCGATGCATGGCAGTATGGCGCTTGACGGGCTAAATAACCTTGACTACCCTCTAACGGAGCAATAACATAAGTGCGACAACACTGACCTCCCTCATGGTCAAATTTGTTACAAATTAATTGCCAAAGCTATTGACTAGATGATATATTGGCAGAGACGGTATTGCCCATGCCTTTGTTATATTAGCAACGAATTGGCATTGATCATGCTTTTGCTGCTATATCTTTGCATCGGGTTTGACGCTATTCATGCCATATTGCAATTTAATAATATGGTTCGGTAGTGACAATGCCATCATCATTTTGCTATTTTCATAAAATGAATTGGCATTTTTCATATCTCTTCAGCATTTCATTTTGACAATGCATCTCAGCATTGCCCATGTCTCTTCATTATTTCATTTTGACAATACATTTTGGCATTGACCATGAATTTGTCATTATTTTCGCTCTCATACCTTTATCAACAATGCAAGGCTAAATCATTGCTAAGTAAGATAATGCTTGAATGAGTGAAGTTACTACTCTTGTTCACATGCTTTAACGTAAGCTTCACATTGTAGGGACCTAACATTACTGACAAATAAATGGTAAGGGAGCATGTACTTTGCTCCTAACACCATGCTCGAGAGGGCATCTTTACCGCAATCTTCCTAGTAACCCTAGTAAGTATGCCCTAGGCTAGCAACATACTATCTTGCCAACATCCTTCATTGACACACTTTGAGTAAGCAACACGTCATCTTCGCCAACTCTCGACATTAGGTATTTGTCAATAGTTACAAGGAAGTTCTCTCCTTATGTATTTTATTTTATCTCCTTATCAAACTACTTGTATCTAATTATAGGAATTTTTCTACTATTATAGATTGTATTGTCGATGAACCCAAGACTAGGAGATTAACAACAAAGATTATGGGAGTAGTGATTTGAAAGTTATGAAGAAATAAGATCCTATCTTATCGTTGGAAGAAATGATGATCATGGTTAAGTTTGGGACCATTGTCATGTCATAAACTTTTGAGCAACAAGGAAGAGAAGCTAGCTAAAAAATGTGGAAAATATGACAAGGGGTTCAAGTGAAGCTATTGTGTGCACAAGAAGATTGACAAATTGTCACTAGAAATGCTAAGAAGCAAAGCCTAACAAGCATTAAAAGCATGTCAATATCAGCTGACAAAAACCTTGGAGAAACGAAAGAAGTTTCCATTGCCCAAGGTACTACAACACTACCATGAAAAACCTGGGGTAAAACCATGGTCATACACCTTCAAACCGTGTATTTTTTCATAAAGATAATTTCTCTTTTAACTAATTTGGGCAATTTTCTTCCTTTTTTTCCATCAATCATAAATATTATTAAAATACACTCCATTAACCAATGGATAAAGGGGTAGAATCAAAGGGGTAGAATCAAAGCCACCTTGATAAGAAGACAAGTATCCTAATTTTAGGGGAAGACATGACTTCATATGAAAATTATCATTTTGCCCCTAAGACCATAAAACACCCACTTCTTCTTCCTAACGGAGAACATCATTTCTCACCTTTTTACCACTCTCTCTCATTAGAGCCTTGAGCATTTCCTCTCTTTCTCTCTAGGAATATTTTCAAAACCACCATCGAAACATCCATGAGAGCTTAAGGATGCATGGAAAACAAAAGGTTTATTGCTTCTTAAGCATCATCAACACTTCATTCTTGGATTTCCAATAGAAAACACCCTCTAAAGTTTAAAAGAAAGCAACTCTTTGCACTTTCTCCATGGGAGCAACATCTACAAGTTAAGGGCCCCCTTTATTTCAAGAGTTCCACATGTCAGCTTCTCAAGGTCTACTTCTTCATCTCCCATCACTATCTTTCAATGTTTTCCTCTTGTTGTAAAGCTTATGAAATTGCGATGAAGAGAAATCATATAATTTCATAAAAAAAGTAATGAAAAGAGGAGTTCATTTTCTTTTCCCGTTTTTGTGTATGATCATCGTTATACTGCAAGAAATTGATTTCATAGTTAGGAAAGTGAGTTGGTGGATTTTCCATCTTGCAGGCTATCTTTGAGTTTAGCATCGACCTCATCGATGGGCATTGTCAACTCTTGAAGCAAAGTTCTGCCAATTGGTCTACCGTTCAATTTGTGCTACTCGACAAATCCATCCTCAACACTTACAACTCCACATGTTGTGTCAAAGATTGCCATGTTTTCATTTGACTCCCCTTCAACAAAAACACCCCAACTCTCTAAAAATCGATTTTTTTTTCTCCAGTAACATTATACACAGGTTATAGTTATTGGTCTTTTTTTTGGATGGTGAATAGTTTTCAATTCAGTTTTCATGCATTTTTAAGATTAATATTTTTTTGGGTAATCTTTAAAAGACACATTTTCATCAATTTGACACATTTAAAAAAATTAATTTCCTTATATTGAGCCCAAGACTTTAACCTTGAACTTGGCCAATAAGACAAAACTTGCTAAATACAACCATTTGAGATTTGTAGTGATTGGTCATTTAGAATGTAATACCCCAAAATTTTGTGCTATTTTAGCATTTAAGTAAGGGTTTTTGTGTGAGAAAATATTGTTTTGGGCTTGATAGCCAAAAGTTTAAAAGTTGAGGGACTTAAAGAGGGAAGAGTTTTGGATAAGGATGAGTTTCTTTTCTCTTTCTTTTTCTTTCTTTCTTTTCTTCCCAGCCTTGCCCGATTCTGCTCTTCTTCTTCTTTCTTCCCGCTGCAGCCACCCGAAGGAAAAAAAAAGGGGAACCCAGCCATGCTTGAGAAACTAGTGAGATAAGCTTGGTTTTCTCCTTCCTTTCTTGCTCTAGAACACACCTAGAACCCAGAAATCTCTCCCCCTTTGCTGGAAAAGCCGGATCTGCCCTGCTCTGCTTTGTCCTTCCGCCGGCTGCTCTTGATTGTGGGTGATTTCTGGGCATATTTTTCGGTAAGAACGGCCCCTAATTCCTTTGTTCTTGCTTGAATTGGCTTGGGTTAACTTTGATTGCTCTTATTTCCTCCAATTTTTGGGTAGTTCCGTGAGTTTCTCCCCTGCAATTCCTGCCGGCTCCTCCCCCAGCCAAGCTCGGTTTCTGCAGCTGGAAATTCTGGTATGTGACAGCCATTTAAGGCTTAAATTATCCATTTAAAGTTGCTGGTTTGTGATGTCCGAATTTGGCTAAAAATGGGGAAATTCCGATAGCAATTAAGAGGGATTTAAGTGTGTTTTGTTGCTTAATTCAAGTGGAATTTATATGATTGAGTGTTAATGGACTGCTATGTGATTTTTGGAGAAAATCCCGTGAGATTAGCTAGTGTTTTGGCCAATTTGTGGGAGTGGGGTTACTGTTCACGTCGGGTACTATTCACGGGTACTGTTCACCGGTTACTGTTCACGCACCGAGGGCCAACAATTAACGGGGATTTAAATGATTAGTTTGTGATATAAGAACGAATTTGGAGATATTTGATAATGTGGAGATTTATGGAAATAGCATTGTGATTAGGAATGATGCTAATGATGATTTCAGCTTGAATGTGTGATAGTCCGATATTAATTTTGAGGTGTTTTGATTAGGTTCCCGATCGTTCTGTCAGTTTAGTACGTGAATTGAGTGCTCGGTTTTGCGGAGTGAGGTAAGTAATTTATGGTAATGCCCATACTGTTTTAAAAGCATATTTTGATTTGTTTTTGAAGAGGTGGCGGGACTAAACCCGTTTTACACAAGTATGACTGATTTGAAGTGAAATGTTTTATGCTTTTCACTAAATTGAGCATGCCTACTTGGAATTTAAGTGATTGTCCTGATGATTTGAAAGTGATTGTGAATCGTGATTTTTCTTAACTTCTGCCTATTTTGTCTTCGATATGGTCATGTTATTCGTGTGCCTGCTAGTGGGAGGTTTATAAACGCTAGCACATGTCGACATGTTACTGATAGAACCGGTTCGTTTCTGTAACCCTACTAGTGGGGGTTAAACACTAGTAATTTCTGTAGCCTGTCAGTGGGAGGTTTATAACACTGGCCGTGACCTATGAAGGAGACGTCTATTTCGTTCCCGTACTGTATCCGTTTTGCATGATTGCACATGTGGCATGCTATAAGTTTAAATAAGGGGCACTCCATATTTACTTACTGAGTTTATCTTATAGTTTTCCTTGTCAACCATTTCAGGAAATGAAACCGAGGACGGGGAAACCACGGGAAGTGACGAGTTAGAAGGCTAGCTATTTCGAAATTGATTTAGATTCTAGAGATCGTGATCTTGTAAGCTAGAGTGTATTTGGAGATTTAGGATATCAGAGAGATTTTATAATTTGATCTTCAGATTTTGATGGTATCAGAGTATGAATATGATAAGTTCCGAGCCTCGTGCATTTGTGGGATCCGTCTCACGAGTGCACGGCGTCTGTCACGTCTCGAAATTGGGTTTTGGGGCGTGACATAGAATAATTTAGCATTTCCTTACATTAATACTAAAACAAATAAAGCATAAAATTGATAATTTAATATCATACTTTTGCCCTTCATATAATTCCTAATAAGTATGTTTTTTCTCTTACATATTTGAGAAACAAAAAGGTTTCTCCAAGTTTTCTCCATTCGGATTCGGTTAACAGCTTTACCTCAACTTTTCATGAAAATTCAACAATTCCAATAGAACTTGTACAAAAATTACTTTCAATAAAATATTTCCTAACTTTCCCAAGCGTACCTTTCCGACCATTTTTCTAGTCATTGTCTTCTGAGATAGCCTTAAACTAACAAACCTAAAAGGTACATGAATTAGTTGTCATGTAATTAGAATTAAAGGTGATTTGTTAGCAATTGTTTAATGGAGTGGGGAGTTTTGGTAGATAGAGTATATTAAGTTTTCATACTTGTATGCTTGAGTAATGCTGTTTTATATACATACGAAGAACCTAGATTATCGAATAGTTTAGCTAAGTGTGATTTTCAATTTAGTGTAGATTATTTAGAATGCTAATCTGATTTGTTGGTTTCACACTCTCGGGGCCACCACACTGGGTTGAAGTTCGAACTTGCCTTTCTCCTTCCTTAATGTTGTAGGCACAAAGTAACCTTATAATATGATACTACTCCGGCTCAAAATAATCGTGTTCTAATATTTTTTTCAAATGTTAATAGAAGGATATGTTTTTAAGTTATTTATTAAGTTGTCTATTTTACAACCTGTATTATACCGATAAAATATGAGTTGTTAGTTATTAAGAGAGTTTCATCTCATTTAATAACTAAGGCTTAATTTAACAAATTATCTACTAACTTTTATATTTTTTTCAGTTTTATCTATTATCTTTGGATTCTTCCAATCCTATCTACTATCTTTTTGATTCACTTCAATTTTGTTTAGTCTGTTATCTTTGACAAAAATCTTCCTATTCTGTAAGAGAATAGTTAGTCTTCTAACTATATTTGTTTTGATTTTTTAGTCCTCAAATTTATATTTGTTGTAAAAACATCTTTTATACTTAAAATTATTATTTCTTGGCTCTGATATCAGATTTTTCTACGGGTTTTCAGAACTTAACTCAAACTACTATTGACTAATAAATAGTTGGTATGTTAAGCTTACTAAGCGCGGAATTAGATCTACTAAATTGCTAACAAAGATAATCTTTGCTTGGTCGTTTTTAATCTTTTTAGATCTTCATTCAAATCTACAACTGTTTGCTTCAACTTTCTGAGATTCTTAGATAGATGATAATCATCTTCAATATTACTTATTTTTTCTCAAATTTTTACTATTTTATTTCTATAATATCTGCATTACTGCTCATAAGCTATCTTATCTACAAAAATTTCTTGAATAAAATCAAGCATCTTAAATTATAATGGTTTAATATAAAATGGATTTTCCTATTCAAATATAAGAGGTTAGGTACTATTTCCCCATCATTTCTCATCTAAAAAATAATCTAATGTTAAAGAATAATAAAGTTGTTTCTATGCCCACCTTGCTTTCGCATGATAAAATAAATGACTTAGAATTTTACTTGAAAATCCTTTGGACTAGCCTTCAATCAAGCAAATGCTTCCTTTTTCCAACCCTTAATGCCAAACTTAGGTTATAATGGGTATCTAAATAGGACAAGTGACTTCACTACTATGTCAGTTTCTTTTGGATTCTTCTCATTTTATTTTATGATAGAAATAGAGAAGAATAGAAATACAAGAATTATTCTAAAACATGATTTTATTTCTAAGAGAAGAAAGGGAAAGTTCCCTTTCCTTTTGAAAAGTGTTTATAAATACATAGAGAAGACTTTCAGGTAAGGTATTTGGATGTTCAAATGCTCGATACCTATTACAGCTTATAGGAGGCTTTTTATAGCGCTCCTTAGAATCTTTCCTTTCATCATTGCTGACGATTAAAGTCTACATTATTGTCTGGTGATCCAAACTTACTTCTTGATTTTGTTAAAGCAGATTATAGGGAATCTTGCAAACACTCTTCTTTTTCTTTAGTGATGTAGGAGCTTATGTCTTTTTGCTTTGGATTCTTCAGAGGCTGATGGGATCCTTTTCACTGTCTGAGGGGGTGGTTTGTTCGTCACATGAGGCTTTAGCTTTTCCTTTTGCAGATTCTTTTTTGTTGCAGAAACCACAATGACTGTCATGCTTTAACAGCTTGCATAGTCTATTATGAATTGCTTACTGGTTGGGACCAAATTTTAAAGATTTCCTTTCTTTTCTACTTTATTTTGAATAAGCTAATGCTTGTCATTAATCTTGCACCAGTGGATACTACCTAGATTTCTTTGGAGAAGCCATATGTCCATGTCTTCCTCATCTTTATCATTATGTCAAAGGTTTGGAGTAAAACCTTGAATCCTAGAGCTCGTCTCTCTTGGATGAACTTGATCCCACAAAGAGACTCTTCAAAATCTTGAAAAATTTGATCTTCATTCGCTTCTACCTTGATTTTCTTGGATTGGATTCCAATTTGAAGTATATGATGACTGGGGAAATATTGAGATTTTTCCCATTCTGGTGCTGCAGAGTAGATTTTGACGAACTTAGGATCTAATTTAATATATTCTTTATCTTTAAAAAGATTGAATTGATGACTATTAGTTAATGCATAGCTTACCACATAGTAAATACTATATGGCATTGATCCATCTTTCATAAAGTTTTCTCCAACAAATTCATGAGCTAAACTTAAGGTTTTAGTAATATTTCTATCATTAATGTTTACAATGTATTTTGGATATACTGTAAATATAAGTTTTTGAGAACTAAGGTTACCTTACACTAATCCAAGGGTAGCATCCTTTCTATCATTGATTCTATTATCTATTAAAGCTAATTTTATTGGGGTGTTTACTCCTTCCCTAAAATGAGCTTTAATGAGTATTTGTATTCCTCCAATGTGGATAAAACCTATCTTTCATCTATTAGTTTCTTTGATCTATTAGTTTCTTTGATCTTTGACAATTTGCTTTCTATTTCTATCTTGATAATCAAAGGAACATTTATTATTCCTGTTGTATTCTTGATAGGAATGCTATATTCCTTAGTGGATATTCCGTAATAAACTATGTCTTTTCTCTTAAAAGGATTATTTATAAAAGAATTTGGTTTGAATCCTCTTTCTAAAGCAAGGTCCATTCTCTTTTGTCTAATTCTTTTATATTTACTTTGATCGAATACAGTTATTAGACTATATTCTCCATGTCCTTCATATTCTTCAAAATAACCTTCTCATTTTTCAATATTCTGATTTATCACTACTGGAGGTATATAAACTTTCTACTTCATATATACTTTCTTCGCTGCTTATAGAGCTAGTATCTATTTCAATTAATTCTTCTTCATAAATTTTTAGGTTTTTAGTACTTTCTTTTTTATATCTTTTAGGACATTTATTTGCATAATGCCCTTCTTCATTACATAACTAGTATGTGCATTTCTTAGGATTTTTTTAATACTTTTTTGATGTTTTGGTTTTCTTAAAATACCTCTTTTTCTTTCTAGAAAATTTGTTCTTATTAAACCTTTGTTTATTACTTCCTTTAATGAATGTGAAGATTTTGCAATATCAACCTAGATTAATCATTACTAGTTTAAGGGTACAGCCAAAACTCTTGGTCAAAATTAAAGAAGCTCAGCAAGGTGATGCACAATTACAAGGGTGGTTAAATGATGAAGAAAAGAAGAAGAATCTGAATTAGGATGGCTACAGATGAGTTGATCCGATTAGGAGACAGATTTTGCATTCCTAATGATGTAGAATTGAAAAATAATTTATTAAAAGAGGCTTACCGATCTAGACTTACCATACATCTTGAATGCAAAACAATGTATAAGAACTTGAAGAAAGAATATTGGTGGCAAGGTATGAAGAAGAATATTGCAGAATTTGTAGCCAATGTCTGACTTGTCAACTAGTGAAAGTTGAACATCAAAATCCAACAAGGGAATTATAGCCTTTTCCTATACTTGAATGGAAATGGGAGGAAATCTCTATGGATTTTGTTCGAGGACTACCTAGAACTAAAAGGCAACATGATTCAATTTAGGTAGTTATTGATAGACTAACCAAATCAGCACACTTTTTACCAACAAAAGTGGATGACTCACTTGATATTTTAGCTAAGCTCTATGTTAGAGAAGTGATGAAGCTTTATGGTGTTCTAGTGAGTATAATCTTAGATAGAGACACTAGATTTACAACAAGATTCTGGAGATCATTTCAAAAAGTAATGGGTAAATAGTTGAGAATAAGTACAGTGTTTCACCCACAAATGGATGGGCAATCAAAAAGAATAATTTAGACTCTTGAAGATATGTTAAGAGCTTGTGCACTTGACTTCCCAGGTAGTTGGGATGAACACCTTTCATTAATTAAATTTGCTTACAATAACAGTTACCATTCTAGCATAAGAAGCACCAGTTGAAGTATTGCATGGCAGAAAATGTAGAACCCCAATTTGTTAGATTGAGGAAGGAGAAAAGCAAATGTTGGAACAGATGTTAGGACTTGAAATAGTTCAAAAAATAATAGAAGAGGTAAAATTGATCCAACAAAAATTGAAGGCAACTCAGGATAGGCAGAAGGCTTATGCAGATCAAAGAAGAAGACCATTGGGTTTGAAGTAAAAGAACATGTGTTTCTAAAAGTCTCACCTTCAAAAGGCATAAAAATATTTGGCATGAAAGGGAAGCTAAAACTAAGATTTATTGGACCCTTTGAAATTTTAGAAAAGGTTGGAAAGGTAGCATATAGAATTGCATTACTACCCAACATGTCTAAGCTGCACAATGTTTTTCATATTTTAGTTTTGAGAAAGTATGAACTAGATGCTTCACACATCATCAAGAATAAATCTTTACAGCTTGGGAAAGATTTGAATTATGTTGAAAAACCAATGCAAGTTTTAGAAAGGAAGGAGAGGGTGTTAAGAAACAAAGTTATTCCTACGGTTAAAGTTCTTTGGAAACACCATATTAAGGAGAAGCCACTTGGGACCTAGAAG